CCTTATTTATTAGTAAATTATTCTCCTGCGCGTTTGTTTTGTACCACAAGATGTTTCTTTAGATATTGAAAATACGAAGGATTTTTTATTTTCTTGTCATCCGCCTCACTTTTACAGCCCATAAAATGTCGGAAGCGCTGAAACTGAAGGAAGAAGGCAATACATGCTTTCGAGAGAAACGCTATCATAAAGCTATTGAACTGTACACACAGAGCCTGCAGCTGGAACAGTCAGCCACTGTTCTTGGTAAATTTTCATTATTGCATATCCTTTTCGCAGTTTTCATGCAGAAATTAAAGATGGTAGGCTGATACCCTCTTTAGTTTTGTTCGTTATTATACTTGTCGCTCATTGACGACATATGAACGTAAAGGCAGCGTCCCCTCGAACTGGTGTGTACTGGAATTTTACAGCCTTCTGGAAAGCCCACAATCCACTCCGGAAGTCTTCCGACCCCGCCCACTTCCAGACTCCGCCTACTTCTTACATGTAATTTGGAGCGAACGCGGATACGTAGACCTTCGAGAAAAGCTCGCTATTGCCATTTACAAGCGCTGAAAAACTTAGATATGGCTTCAGCATGGCGGAAAGGCTCCCGAAAGCTAAAAAACTAGAAAGCAAATTTTTGGGGAAACACTGCCTTTAAAAGTTTCAAAATGTTGCTTTGGCCCTTGTGGTATGTCTCATGCGATCCTTCACCTAGCTAATCGAGCCCAGTCCTACCTAAACCTCGAAGAATGGGCAAAAGCTCTCATGGACTGCAATCGAGCGCTTGAACTTGACGCAAACATGGGCAAAGTTCTTTACAGGTAACGTTTTCAAACCACTACACAACTGAAAGCCTTTTCAAAGCCTTAGTAACTAACATTAAGAAAAAATTAAGGAGAGCTCACGCCCTCGAGAAAGTTGGCCTAAAGGCATCTGCTCGCAAAGACCTTGAACGTTGTTTGAAGGTTGCCCCAAACTCCGCTGCTGAAACAATGTTGAAAAATCTCGCGAATCAGGTATTTTTGTGACCGATGACTGCTGTGCTTACTTTCTGCATGCAACGGTTGTATTACGTAATTTTCTTGACATTTTAATAATTACAGTCTGATGCTGAAGTGATTGAAGTGCCATGTGTAGAAAAAGGTGATGAGATACGTTCTGACTCGGAGTTCGTCGAAATCATGATTGATTTGCCGCGAAAAGATGGGCAAACAGAACCGGGAAAGGAGGTTCATGAGACTGTATGTGTGATGCAGCTTATAGTACGGAATTTGTTGGGAATATCTGTTTAGAAGGAAACGAACGACGAAAGCCTAGCGGAGGAACAAGTACCTGTCCATTTTGCTGTGCCAACCTCTCTGCGGCAGTTCTCAAAGGATTATCGGGAGATGGAAAGATTGCCACCCGAAAATTTTGCGAAATATTTCTTGGTGAGCTAGAAATTTCATTGTCGTCAGATTAT